AGATTCTTCGGGCCAAGTACAATAACTTCAGTTTTGGTCGTGTTTAACATCAAAAAGTTTAAGGTCATCCGCGTTTTTAAGTCCTTAAGGCAGTCTTGAATTTTATTTAGATGATTAATTTCATCAGGCTTGATTGATAAATATAGTTGAGTATCATCCGCATAACAATGAAAATGTACAGAATGATTCCTTATAATATTGCCTAACGGAAGCATATATAATGTGAACAAAATAGGTCCGAGCACTGAGCCCTGTGGCACTCCATGGCTAACTTTGGTTTGCATGGAAGATTCATCATTGACACGTACAAACTGAGAGCGTTCAGATAGATAGGACCTAAACCAGCCTAAAGCAGTTCCCTGTATGCCAACTAAGTGCTCTAGTCTTTGCAATAAGATATCATGGTCGATAGTATCAAATGCAGCACTGAGATCGAGCAAAACAAGAATAGAGACACGTCCCTTGTCAGAAGCTATTAGAATGTCATTTGTGACTTTAACCAGAGCTGTCTCTGTGCTATGATGTGTTCTAAAGCCAGACTGAAAATCTTCAAATAAATCATTGTTTTTTAAGTAATCACACAACTGTTTTGCGACCGCTTTCTCAAGAATATTTGAGAGGAACGGAAGATTGGAAATAGGTCTATAATTGGCTAAAACCTCTGGATCGAGGTTGTGCTTTTTAAGAAGCGGTTTTATCACTGCTACTTTGAATGATTGTGGAACATAGCCTGATAATAAAGACATATTCATAATATTTAATAAATAAGTGCTAATTAATGGAAAAACTTCCTTCAACAGCTTAGTTGGAATTGGGTCTAACATACACGTTGATGGTTTAGAAGAGAGAATCATTGAATTTAATTGTTCAAGGTTTATGGCTGAAAAGCATTCTAGTTTACTATCTAGTGTAATATTAGAACTTACGTTTCCGGGAGCTGTTGATAACACTATACTGGTCAAAGGCAAGAGGTCATTAATTTTGTTTCTAAGAGTAACAATTTTATCGTTAAAAAAGCACATAAAATCATTACTACTGAGTGCTATGGGAATAGAAGGCTCAATCGAGCTGTGGCTTTCTGTCAGCCTGGCTACAGTGCTGAAAAGAAATCTTGCATTATTCTTATTCTCATCTATTAATGAAGAGTAGTAGGCTGCTCTCGCTTTACGCAGTGCTTTCTTATATTCATTGAGAGTAATATGCCAAATTAAACGAGATTCTTCAAGTTTAGTGGAACGCCATATCCTTTCAAGTTGTCTCGACTTTTGCTTTATTTTGCGGGTTTCGGCATTATGCCATGGAGCTAATCTATGTTGTTTTATTTTCTTCTTTTTCAAAGGAGCAACAGAGTCTAATTTTATTCGCAGCGCATCTGTAGCACTATCAACAACATGATCAATTTGGGGTGGTGTACATTTTGTATAAGTTTCCTCCCTTACATGCAGACATGCTATCGAGTTAAGTATTGGTGGAATCTCTTCCTTAAATTTGGCTATAGCACTAACAGATAGGTTTCTGCTGCAGGAGCTTTTGACTAATGCTTTGTAGTCTCGTAACAGTACTTCAAAAGTTACTAAGAAATGGTCGGATATAGCAGGATTATGCGGTTCGACTAATAGTTGCTCAATTTCAATACCATAAGTCAGAACAAGGTCGAGAGTGTGATTATAGCAGTGGGTTGGTTTATTTACACTCTGACAAAAACCAACAGAATCTAATATAGAGTTAAATGCAACAGTAAGGCTATTTTTATCATCGTCAACATGAATATTAAAGTCACCTACGATAATTACTTTATCTGTTTTAAGTACCAAAGTTGATAAAAACTCAGAGAATTCTGATAATAATTCTGAATAAGGACCTGGTGCACGATACACTGTAACAAATAAGATTGGCTGCAAAGTTTTCCAGGTCGGGTGCGTAAGACTAAAAACGAGACTTTCAAAGGAGGTATAATTTAATTTTGGTTTAGTATTGATAAGTAAACTTGAGTCAAAGATTGCTGCAACTCCACCTCCTCGGCCCGTGCCTCGGGCAATATGAGTATTGATATGGCTGGGTGGAGTGGCCTCATTTATGCTGACATATTCTTCATGTATCAACCAAGTTTCAGTGAGACAGCATATATCAATATTATAATCTGATATTAAATCATTTACCAATATTGCTTTAGATGCTAGAGATCTTATGTTTAAGAGACCACATTTAATATTCCTGTTTTGTTGCACTGTAGTAGTTGTTACATTTACTTTTATTAGGTTATTATGTATGACACCTCTATTAGGTTTTACCTTAACTTGTCCTCGGGCAGACACACACACCGCTAATATTGGGTATTTTATTGGGTTCGGGATTCCTATTCCACAATAAAAGATGTCATGCTCTGCATTTTCAGCACCTCTAGACGCTGGAGCTCAGCTTGGAGCTGGAAAGACACATTGTTAATGTGTGACTTTGTTGAAACAAAACACTAATGCATTGTCTGAAGTCATTCATGTAAAATAATGCAGATTTCTTACTGCCTCAACGTTGCTCTTCTTTGACAGGACCATATGCTCAGAGATGGGCTCCCTCTCCTCTTGGGGAATCTGAAGTATTTCCCACAGCTCCTTGATGGTGACGCGCAAAGATGAGCAGCGCAGCTCGTTCTCAGCCTTGGTTTCTTGTAACTGGAAGGAAGCAATCAATTATACTATGAAAAAACACATGATGTTTGTTTTAGACTTCTCTCAATCTGACCAGAGAATCAGATTAAAAAACATTAAGATAGAAATGTTTGAAATTCACCTGACTGAGGAGAACTTTAAGAGCACCAATGTTGTCATTTGAGAGACAAAATGCATCCTCGTCCTCAGACATCACATCCATCTCAAAACTGGTCTCTGGATATCTCCTTTTTGAGGCTCACAAATTCATCATGACGACATTCCTAAAAAGATAACCCAAGTTTACTTCCAACCGTTATAAGAAAAAGGCATTGAGTATTTCAAATGAGCAGAACATCAGTGACACCTTCTCTTTGGTCAGATCATCCAGGTAGGCGTGATATGCCTCAAGTTGCTTCAGTGATGGGATGGCGGCCTGGTCAATGCCAAATGGGGTACTGCACATAATGTCACACAGCTCACGGTCTTTGCCTAGGAGGCCCATTAGCTCTTCCATTCTTTGCTTCTTCTGCTCCTTCATCAACTCCAAACGTGCACGGCTATTCTTCTCAAACTGCAACATGGAGCAGCCCTCTTCCTCCTTGAGGAATCCAGAAAGTTAGTCCAAGAAACTTTTTTTCCAGACAGTAATATGAAAACACCTAGATATATTCCTGAACGAAACTGTACCTCAAAGGAAGGCAGCTGAAGTTCACGGCACAACATGTTTAACTCTTCAAGACATTCCTGAATGTTTTTCATTAATCTCTCCTTTCGCTGCTCTTCCTCAGTAATCATCAGGTGCAACAGCTCCTGTAGGACAAGAGTAACACAACAAATCATTTGTAAACTCCGTCCGTAAGTCCAGACTTTAAATCTTATTTAAACTGATGACTCACTGTAATGTGCTTGTGGACATCGTTGGTTCTCTGTATGCACTGTTCCTCTGTAAAAACCGATTTCATCCCAAATATCCTGCAGCCTAACCAGAACTCCGTTGAGATAAGCAACAGACTCTGCTGCGTGGACTTCACTGGAAAACAAAAGCAGCAGTGTAACGGGTACGTTTAAAAACACCTGTTACCTGTCAAACCAGTACAATATTAACGTTAGCGGTAGAGAATAATATCAAATCAAGTAACGTTAGCGGACTGTCAGTAGCAGAGGGCTAACGTTATATACCGCTGGGCTAAATTAACGTATAATAGCTCCCCGAAGCTGTCTTGTAGCATTAGCTTAGCTAGCTGTAAAGTTAAATATTACCAGCTGGAGCGTTAGAATAGCATTCAATAGTGATGTTACGTATTGCGCCGAGGCTTCGGAGCGTGTGTGTCGAGTAATCCCCGAAGCTTTTTGTGAAGCATGTATCGAGGCTTGTATCGTTTTGGGCCAGTGACGTCATCGATGACAAACGAAGCCTCGCTGCCTGTCGATACCACGTGACTGCTTCACGAAGCGATTCAGATCGGTTGAACCGTTGAACCACAACGCTCATACCCATGGATGTATAATAAGAACCATATTACCCCTCCTGTACCCGGGCCCGCTGGTGACACGATGGAATTAAAAGAGCTCAAAACCTCACCTATATAGAGGTCGGAACATGTCATAAGTATAAATAGATACAAGCATAAATAAATGTAGGAAAAAAAACATGAATGAATAAATACAGGAATAAATATGTTACAGTATTTTCAGGGAGATTCAGCGTGTGTGCTGTGGCTCAGCTGGAAAGCAGTTGACTCACGATCGCAGGGTTCCTGGTTCAACGACTCGTCAATATGTCTTTTTTGTTGATAAAAGCTACAGCTAAATGAGATAATGTAGTTAATAAATGTATTCTTTGATATGGTTTAGCCTTTCTCAGGCTACAACATGGTTACGTTTATGAATATTATTAAGGAATACAAATCCCTATTTGTAATGTTTACCAGCCTCCTTAGGCTTTTCAATCACAATCATTCAACTGGAATAAATACAATATTGTTAACATGAAAATATGATTTAATGTTCGTTGTTTAGAGTTATTCTAAGGCTTTACTCATTGGGAACTCGGTATGAGATAGAGCACACTGTTGAGATGTCCAATCTGCCTGTTTTACACACTTTGACCAACAGGGGGTTTGTGTTCAAATGAAGCCCATGATGAAGCCTCATGAGATGAACCCTTTTGTGAACCAATTGGCTGGAAAGCTTCATAAGGCTTCATCTCGCCATCACTAATGCTAAGAGTTACCTGGAGCCTGCTATTATCCACAAGTGGAACACTGATCAGCAGCAGAATTTCGATAATCTACAACAACAGGGGGGAAAGGTCGCAGTTGCAGGAGATATGAGAGCAGATTCTCCAGGTAAGCAGAAACAGACAAGACAGTCTAGTGCCAGAGTTACTGGTGTATATTACAATTCATCTACTTATCCATTGAAGTTCGGTTGAAAAGCCTTGAAACCTCCTGTATTATATTTTCTTCAGGACACTCGGCTAAGTTCGGGAGCTACACACTCATGAACCTGGGAAGCAACACCATTCTGGACTTCCAGCTTGTTCAGGTGTGATTCTCTTTCTGGGTGCTATCATTTTAGGCTTGCTGGCTGTTGATGCATGCTTCTGTGTATTTATGCCCTATTTGTTATTCCCCAACAGAGCAATGAAGTAGGTGGTAGTTACCACATGGAAAAGGAGGGACTCAAAAGATGCCTAGATCATCTGGAGTCAAAGGATTTGGCGGTTGAGTACATTGTGACTGACCGTCATCCGCAGATCCAGAAGTACCTGAGGGAACGCAACATCGAACAATTCTATGATGTGTGGCACTTTGAAAAAGGTATTTATCCCTATGTTGTAATGGAAGAATACCAAATTAGAGGCACTGTCCTTTGTTAAGATATTCCTTTGTTTTACTATGCAATTTATCCTGAGCTTCTAATCAGCAGCAGACATGACTTAATGTCTGAATACATTCATTATATCTCCTACAATTTGGCCTGCCAGACCACTTGATCACAGCACCTTTTCTCATTGTAAATTACATTTCACTCACTAATCCTAGGATAATGTGAGTACTCTTTAGAATGAGAATTTACAGTGATATGAATATGTATGGAGGTTTCCTGGCTATGAAATGTTTTCGGACAGAAGGGTGTCGCACTGACAGGCAATTATCATATGTATGTTATGGTTGATGATATATGAAGTGTGGAATTTCCACCACACCCTTGAATGTTGTCCATCACAGCACGTCATTTCCACACTATGGCTTGAATATTAACTTGTGCATGTGCTTTTTTTTAATCAGGTTTGTCCAAGAAACTTCTGAAACTTACACAGAACAAGGACTGTGACACGAAGTTGAAGAGGTGGCTGCGCAGCATAAAAAACCATGTATACTGGAGTGCGACGAGCACAACCTCGGGGCCGGAGAAGGTGGCAAGGTGGACGTCACTGGTCAACCACCTACAAAACGTTCACGTGCATGATGACCCCCTGTTCCCCAAGTGCACACATCTTGTAGGAGCCGCAAGTGATGCAAATAAACCTTACCTAAAAGGTGGTAAGTTCAATATTTCACTTCCTTCATAAGATCAACAATATAGAACGTAAATATAACATTGTTGTTATGGCAAATTATTGTTGTAATGTTCTAATGTGCTGGTGATTTACCTAATGTCTTTGTCATTTTACTCAAGGCTCAATAACACTCGCCAGAGTTGAAACGATACTCACCAACAAGAGAGTTCTCAAAGATGTGCTAAAGCTAAGCCATCACTACCAGACCTCATCCCTGGAGTCCTTCCACAACTTAATTCTGCGTTTTACCCCAAAAAATGTGGTTTTCCCCTTCATTGGAATGTTGTGCAGGTAATACACTGTATACTTTATTCTGTAGCATCTTATAACACAGTCACTGTTTAGTGGCATGAGGGTTTTATTCTGTCATAACCAGTGTTGGGAATAACGCGTTACAAGTAACGCGTTACTGTAACGCCGTTATTTTTGGCAGTAACTAGTACTCTAACGCATTACTTTTTATATTCAGTAACTCAGTTACCGTTACTACATGGTGCGTTACTCCGTTAGTTTTTTTTATATAGTCAACAGCCAGGCGAACAGAGATGAGAACTGTACTTAAGTACAGTACTTGAGTAAATGTACTTAGATACTTCCTGTGTCACATGCGGAGACGGGCTGTGGGCGTGTTTGTGTTGTTTACTAACAATACTATCATTGCGGCGGCGGAGCTCAAGTCTAGTTTCTCCACCTGGAGATATTCTCACTATTTCACTTTTGTCGAGCACAAAGAAAATAAAGTTTCTGTTAAATGTAAGTTGTGTCCTGGCGGGTCAAAGATCCTATCTACTGCCCAAACCAGTAATTCAAATCTCTTAAAACATCTGCAAAAACAACATGCTGGGACGAAGCTAGTAGCTAAGACCACAGAGACTCAGCCGACGCCACTCCACCTCCACCTAAGCAACAGCGGCTGGATTTTAACCAAGGGACTGCTGGCCAGGGAAAAGTCGATAAAGCCATTGCACGGTATGTAGAACACATGCAGGCTATTGCTACAGTGGAGTCACCCGCTTTCAGGGAGCTAGTTAGCATGATAGCATGTCCGGGCGGCACACGGCATATGGGACGGAAAACTTTTTCCAACTACCTGGAGAAAGAATATACAAAAATGGAAAGCCAGCTAATATCGATGCAATCCAGATTGCATATAATGCATGTCAAGTTGATCAACAGATTGTATTATTCTCCAATGCAATAACGGTACTGAAATGAAGGCTATAAGGGCATTAATGGGAGACATTTTTTCAAGGAACTAAAACGTTACTTTTCACAGTAACGCATTACTTTTGGGTTTAAGTAACTAGTAAAGTAACTGAGTTACTTTTGAAATGAAGTAACTAGTAATGGTAACTAGTTACTGGTTTTCAGTAACTAGCACAACACTGGTCATAACACAAAGTCTCATTTTATTTTGCTATTCTATAGGTCGTGTCTAGCAGCAATGCATCACAACGAGAATGCTGGGCGTGACCAAGCGACAACTGCTGCAGGAAAACTTGTCTTCAAATTGGCTTATCCAAAATCAAAGAGGGGAGAGTGTACGGTCAAGTCTGTTAAGAACGACCCTACATACAGTAAGTTGTGAAATATTTGTTTTTGTTTTTATTATTATTAACAGAACTTACATTTCAAATGATTAAAGATACAATGAACAATAAAAGTATTACATTAAATACAAAAAGTGAATAACAATAACAAATTATTTATACAATGCTTTCTTTTTCAGTCTATGTGGATGAGCTGACGAAGCTTGTGTTTCACAAAGTCTTTCTGGACCCTACACCCTTTGTGGACGAGCTGAAACGAATCCACGTCCCAGAGGACCTGTCAACTCAATTTGACAGGCCCCCCAAGGAGGAAATGATTGTCAGCCGTTTCTCCCGTTTCCCCCCAAAGGAGGTCGAAATCCTACATATTGTCCAGCCAGATCTGGAAACTCCTGGCGGATCCGGAGCACAACACACGACGGAATCACCACTCTGATGCCTCGCCCTAAATATCCCCAGCACCAGCTTACAAAGCTGCGATACGCAAGATATCGAAAACGCCTATCGGGAGAGGAATGGATGATGTACATTACATTCAAATATAAATATACATTCACACATTTTGTACATTTGTAAAAATAAAGTTTGATGGAAATACATAGTAGCCTTTCTTTCCTGAATGATTTGCTCCTATAACATATCATTCATATATAGCAAACCATGATTTGATTTTTCATCAAACGGTAGTAGTTTATTACAGGTAACAATAACTTACTCTTCTTCCGTTGTATTTGTCAAAGGTCCGAAACTGTATTTATAAATATTGTGGAGATTCTGCAGGGTGTATGGGTTCAAGCAGTTAGGCTCTAGTCCTGGGTGGCCAACCATGCAGTTAATGGGTTCTGGAACTTGCAGCATGCGTGTTACAACCTATGAAGGTAAGATGTGTTACAAAACACGTTTAGCAATTAAACCAACTATGGGAAATGTTTACAAAATAAACATTCAATTACTAAGGAAGTAATACAAGTGCATATAATAGTCTATTGACTTGAAAAACCAACACATCCTCACTCCCAGGTCGGCCTATGTTGACGTTATGTCAAGTCCCCTGTCGGCTTTTTCCAACGCAAGGGGGGGGGCCTTAGCGTCCATTTTCAACGCAAGGGGGGGGGGCCCTTAGCGTCCATTTTCAGCTTTCCGGGATGTCCATATTCTTCTATGGACGCTCATGGAAGCACGGCGTTCGTTTGTGTCGACTGCCCTTAAAGGCAATGTGAGCGTCCATTCTCATTGGATAACGGAGAATTGTACACCCGGAAGTAAGTATTCCCCTTACTGTCGATTGATTTTACAGTGATATCTGCACTACTCATCGACTAAAAAACACCAGATTATCCTTGTTAATTACACAACATTGATTGGTTTAAATTGTGTGCAATGCTTTTGTATTTTTCCCCTTCGATTCGGAGAAACAAATGTTTTTTCGGAGTAAAGGATGGCAGAAGACACTACACTACCCAGAATCCCCAGCTATCGTTTGGACTACACCATGTGCTCTGTTTGACAAACCCAGTGATAGTCCTCAAACTCTGTGATTGGAGAGTGTGCTCCGAGGGTTACGCCGAGCCTCGAACAGCACTTGAAATGGGATGGAATCACGGCAGACTGTCCAAAACTGGATTTGAACGGGTCCACCGCGTCCCCCCTCCCCCACCCTGTCCCCAGAACTACAAATGCTGGCTATTCTGTTTCGCAACATGTTCTGTATCTATGGCACGTCTCTACTGGGAGTTGTAGTTTTAAAAAACGTTTTCGTATTTCCCATAATAAGAAGTTGCCAGTATTAAACTGTGTACATCCCTGGAGGTTTAGGGGATAGGAAACACTCACATTTAAAACATATAATTAATAAATGGGTGAAAATTGCTTGTGCCCATAATGGGCAGCATTAATATATATATATACACACATGCCAGCTAAGGTCAGAAGAGCTTTATTTAACAGCTGGTCTTATGTTTGTGACCCCTGTTGTTAATTGATAACATTACATTACATTACATTAATTGAAAAGCCTGAAACATGCACTTGTTAAGGTTCAGAGGCACATTTTGCAAATATGGCAGTAGCCATCGATCAGCTTAAGATAAGATATACTTTATTGATCTCAAGTTGGAACATTTGCATTACATCAGCATGTGTAACAGTTGTATGCAGTGGTGTTTATTTGTAAATCATTTAGTATAATCACACAAATTCTGTGTTTTATATTCAACAATTCTGTGTTCTTTATTTATTGATTGTTCAATACCTGACAAGGTCGGAGATGAAATATCTACATACATCTTATAAGAGTATAATACATTATGTATAATATCAGTTAAAATAAGTGCTTCAACATAGTTAACATTGCTGGAGGTACGCACAAATATTGATAGATGTCTTGTAATGCACTATTGAGGAACCTGCGACCCAAGTTTTTCATTCAATGCATAACTACACCATAGTTGTGTAGGCCTATATGATATGTCAATAAACCTTAGAAAATCTTGAAATCTTGAAAGGGATGTGCAAAATAGTCATTATATACAGTCTTTAATTAACTATTAGTAGAGAATAACGAGTAATTAATATACTTTATAGGGATCCTATTAATATCTAATAATACAAATAATGAAATTCAATAACATGCTTTAACCACTAGGTGTCCCTTTATATCAGCTGTGCACCTTTATGGTGTAAATACAGCCTATCTACCAATTGGATCAAATATAAAAGTCAGCCGAATTAGTGTTGATACTGCAAGGAGACGTATTGTGTGAAAAGAAATGTAAGATGTTGTTTAACTGCTGATATATTTATGATCCACGTCACGTTTTCAGTTCCTCATGTTTGTCTAGAAGTCTTCTCATCAGTGCTCTATAAATACAGAACTACGGCAGATATGTAATATTTAATGCAGCCGAACCGTGTATTACCATGCCGTTATGTGATGACATCCAAAGAGAAAAGCAAGCACACTCGGAATAAAGTATTATTGTATTTTTTTAAAATGTTTTCGGTCTGTTTCCGTTATTTGTTAATGACGATGTGCTGTGAGATGTAAGACTGGAATTGCACAGGGGGAAATAACGTAGGCTATCTTTAGATGCGGATTTTGTTAAACTAATATGTTTGCGCTGTGGATCAACACTATACATTGACGGGGAAGGGGGGTAGCAATAAAGATAACACCATTAAACAGTTACACAACATAACAGAAATAATATCGATAGCAGCGTCCCTAGCAACCACCTTGGTAACAATGAAAACGTTATGGACGCAATTTCCTGAAGTAATCTTCGTAATAACTAGCAAACTAAAGATCATGTACATCCACTGCACACATAATCTGAAATAACAACTCATATTTCTCGCATCAAATGACATCAAAACGCATTTTAATGGCCAAACTAACTTTAAAATAGGCATTTTCCATCGAGAATAAAACGAAGTTCGGCCATGTTTTTTTTTTCTGCAGGGAGAAATTTGAAGATCACGTGACGTCAAACAGAGCACATGGTGTAGTCCAAATGATAGCTGGGGATTCTGGGTAGTGTAGTGTCTTCTGCCATCCTTTACTCCGAAAACATATTTGTTTCTCCGAATCGAAGGGGAAAAATACAAAAGCATTGCACACAATTTAAACCAATCAATGTTGTGTAATTAACAAGGATAATCTGGTGTTTTTTAGTCGATGAGTAGTGCAGATATCACTGTAAAATCAATCGACAGTAAGGGGAATACTTACTTCCGGGTGTTCAATTCTCCGTTATCCAATGAGAATGGACGCTCACATTGCCTTTAAGGGCAGCCGACACAAACGAATGCCGTGCTTCCATGAGCGTCCATAGAAGCATATGGACATCCCGGAAAGCTGAAAATGGACGCTAAGGCCCCCCCCCTTGCGTTGAAAATGGACGCTAAGGCCCCCCCCCTTGCGTTTGAAAAAGCCGACAGGGGACTTGACATAACGTCAACATAGGCCGACCAGGGAGTGAGGATGTGTTGGAAAAGCATGTATGCTGTATATCTTGGTATATGTGTGCTACTGTTGGTGTTTTCAGCTAGCTGCCGACATAATGTAACTAAGCTAGGCTACCTTTCTTATGCTATTGCAGCACACGTTTTCTCCGTCACTTGGCATCAAAGCGCAGTTTCCACAACGGCACCTAAATAACAACAGTTGTAGGTACATCTGATGACATCTGAAATGTAAGACATATACTAGATAAAAACGTACCACAATGACACTGTTTGGTCTGCTCTAGTGAACGGCGAGGCAAGACTCGCGATTTGGTCTATTCTAGGATCGAACGGAGATTCGAAATTGTATGCTCCATACGCCATTGTATGCTATATGTAAGCTATCTATATAACTCTCTATCTATCGATTCTCAAATCTAGTATTGCTATGTTGCTAAGTACCCGCTAAACCACTTTACGGCAGATGTCAACAGGGGCAGAGCCTCTCTGGTGGTTGACTAATCAGAACAGAGTGGCAGAGCTGACCAATCGGAGCACACTGGACGCACAGGAGGGTGGGGGCAGGAACTCCATCGAGCCGTTTAGCACAGGGAGTGAAAACTCGTACTTTACAGAGATAATGTATGAGAAACCAATCTGAGTTTGGAAAATTGCACAGTATTTTTCTATTGTAATATCCCTCAACAATGGTATTATGATCAGTAGAAAGGACCATGCAATGGGACCTTTAAGTTTCTCCATCGTTGTGTACAAGCTGGATAAAACGCGGGCTTCTTGTTGTTGTTCAGGAGTTGATCCCGCCCCTGCCCCGGCCTCGACGTAAGCGTGACATATGTGGTGCTTTTGCTCTGGCCGGACAATTTTTTGGTGCTTGAAACGAACCGGATTCCGGAGCTAAGAGGCTGCTCCGCTGCGGTGTGAAGAGGAAAACCCGGTGCTTTTCAAGCTCCAGCTCCGAACCGGCCCCGAAACACCGTTGGTGTGAATGAGGTATCTGTGCCTTCCTCACTGAGTTCTCAATCTCCCATGTTACAGCGCCCACCACTCTGGTAGCGGGGATTATGGTGTTATGTTGAGCTATGAGCTATGTTATGTGTACTGAAACGAGAGCCGGTATAATTCCACGCGCGAAAACAAAATAAAATTGGAATACGTTATTTTAGTGTCTTAAAAGTAGACTGAGGTATGAAGGGTTAACGTTACATCTTAGGATAATTTGTAGTCATGTTCTGTATACATACTAACATATAAGGGTATACTTAGTGTGGTTACTCCATGTTTACTAGCTATAACATTAACGTTACATCACTCTTTTTCACTTCTTACTCAGTCAGCCAAAGTGCAGATATCACCATTAGATTCACAAACCTGAAACATCATCCATTTCTTCACTGCTGGTGATGACATTGTTGTCAGCTGCTGATACTGCTGCTGCTGCTGCTGCTGCAGCTTGTGGCGCCGGCTGCTTCGATGAAAATAACTTTCTAATATCCATAACTTTATAGGCTATTAGCTTAAAACTCGTCAGGCACTAGGAAGGATCACTTCTTCTTCAGGGCAGAGAAGGCTACGCAGTACGCACGCTAATGTCCCGCAGCGGCTGCCTCTCTGGTGGACTCCAGTACTGCACAT